CAGCATTGATTCTCTAACCCTATCTCGATAACCAGGGAGAATTTTATTTTGAAAAGATCCTGCCAGAGCTTTTTATTTTTTTCAACTGCTTGTTAAATAAGTATGTAGCCAGGAAAATGGGACACAGAAGCCGTAAGATGGATGGGATCTGCATATGTGTTTTTCTCACAAGAAAACAAGTGCAGCACATGTTTAACAAAAGGGAGTAGCTCCAGGGTTACATTATATAATGGAGCCAAATGCAAACTCTCAAATATACAGCACTTCAGGCAGGTACATTACAAAATGGAAAGTAGTTTCTTCATAGGAGGAAGGAGCAAATTTCTTCTTGAAGCATGACTTGAGAGTTCCTCCTGGATGCTACCACATTTGGTTTGGCTCTGCAAGCTTGGCTCACATGAGCTTCGGATCAGGCGGTCTGTGTGTTAAGGAGCTATACCAGCTGCTTTAGCTTCTCTTCACATCCCATTGATGGTGGTTGGACATCACTGAATGAAAAGCAAATGTGCAGGAAACTCAGTGACTAATGCATGTATTTAAGGCCAAAAAATACTAATGTAGCAAGTCAATGACAAAATACTGCAGCAGTAGCTGTTTTGGAAAGCAGGTTTTGTTTTATAAGGCCAGGTTTTACTAGCATCACAACGAACAGAAACTGTTTCACAGAATACTGTAGGAACAGAAATTAAATACAAATATATTTGTGTGAAACCTGGACATGTATTTTTAGGTGCAAACACCCACACACATATGCAGCCTGAATAGTTCATTCCCCCCCTCTGACACAATCAGGGATGCCTCCAGCAGGAATATGAGCCCAGGCATGCTCCAATTTGCCTGTGCCACCCCTATTTTACCTACATACCATATCATGTAACAGCTTGAAAAGCTTTCTTTTCTTAGACCTTTTCCTTTCTCTACATGCTATTCAGTTTCTTTTAGAAACACAGTAAGTACCACAGAAGATCAAACCTCAAGTTCTGTAGTTTAGTACTCAGTACCAAGGACTGCAGTAATTAAGCTAGGGGAACAGTCCCCCTGAAATACTAGTTATCATTTAGTTTTCCCACATAGGCTTAAGCATTAAACCATTACCCATTATTGTTTCAGTAAAATATCAATATGGAATCACTGCATTCACTAGCAATTAGCTGACGGCAGCTTATTTATATTTTCACCTCATGTGCAAATATTCATATTTTAAGAAGCAGCTATCCAGAGTGCTTTTCACAATTAATATACAGGTTGTCAGCGTCAGGTTATTCAAATCAGCCATGGCACCTGCTTCCAAAATTAAACGTGCGCAGCTACAGCTGGCTCTTTTAGCGTTCCCAAATCTCGAAATCACACCTCATCTCTCCTGAGCTCTGGCCTTCCTTCCCTCCCAGCAGTATTTGCTTTACCTTTTGTACGTCCAGATGGTCATGATCATTTACATCCTTCCTGAACTTCTCTGTGGTAATATGCAAAGGCTGAAAAATCATGCTGTAAGCACATGGAGCAAGGTTTGTTAAAATGCATGATTCCATGATTAGTCAGACTGCTGAAAAAACTGACACAGAAAGCAAGGATTTGAGGTCCCCTCCCTTGCAACTGGGTTTCAGAGATTACATGTACAGTCATAACATAGGAAACCCTTTTACCATAGTGCTATTGTATTGTGTTTTCCCCTCCAGAAGCCCTTCTGATATTTCACTGGCACCAGAGGGAATATTTCCATAAACAGACTCAGCCAAAAGTGAAAGATTCAGCACTCTGTCCTCTATGCAGCCTCACTGGCAAGAGCTGGCATAGCACACAGGCGTTCCTGAAACAGCTCCCGCAGGACATGCTATGCTACAAATGGAGCACTTCTAATGTCAACAAAGTGAACAGGACTTCAGTTTGGCAAGGTGGCACATCACATCACCCACCATCACCCTTTTAGGACAGCAGTCTTCAAAATTACTACAATTAAGTTTCAATTTAACTGACACCAAAAACCTGGTTTTATTGTGCCCTTTAAACTTATGGCAACTAGAGTAATTCTAGAAAGAGCAGGTGTAAGAAACTAGTCCAGAGAAGAACAGGGAAAGAAGAACCAACACCATTAGCTGTCTGGTATTTATTACTTTTTAATACAGAGAAGCCACAACAAAATATTCTCTAACAACACATGTAATTGATATCATAACCAATTATTTTAATTTCATCAACATTCATTTGCTATGTACATATTCTTCCATCTGCAAAAGTGCAATCCAAGAATGTCTCAACAAGGAACCTTTTGGACAAGTACATTTTCGAGGGGTTTTCTCACCAGTGGCCTTACAACATGTTTGTCCTTGGTTACCCGATACAGCAAAGTGAAGAGTACATGGGGGGAAAAAAGGGAAAAAAGAAAGAAATTGGGTTAGATGCCTCCTTTGTAGGAATATTCCCTATTTTTCCAATTAAACTCATGAATACACTGCTCACTACTGGAGATGTTAATGCAAATAGACTATAGGATAGTCTATGGGCTGGCTACAGAACACTGTAGTTTTAATGACTCTGCAGCATTAGATGGAATAACAATTTCAGGCTGTTCACCTTGGTAGATGTCAAATTACACATCAGCATGTAAAAGATGTCCATTTGATTAGTTATGGTCATCAAAATTTACTTGTAGACATCCTACTGGTGGATGAAATCATTTTTACACATCCAAAATATGAAATCTATCTAAATGCAAGCCTCTCCTATGGAAAGGAGAGTTAACTACTGGAAAGAAAAGCATTTGCACATGCAACTCCTATTACTATCACAAGGAGTAACGTGCACTTAAGGAGAGTAGAATGAACCTCCAAATCCAGAGGTTTGGAGGTTTGGACTGTATTCTCGTTTACAAAACATATTTCAGGCAAATTTAATCTGACCACGGGCCAGCTTAAAAAAAACCACACAGTACCAGAAAAATGAAAGGTAATGAAGAATAAACTTTAGCCGAACAAGCAAAGCAAGCAGCTCCCTAGCTAGGGAAGTAATTTCCCTTTTGACGCATTTATAAGCTCATAACTACTTCCAATGCTTGTCAAGACAGAAAGCAAAGCCAATTGTGGTCTAGTTTAACCTCCAAAGTAGCCATTAGGTTCCAAAGAAGTTACATTTGCCCTTCTACTTAGGCAAAACTCTCATGGCCAGAGGCAGAGGCTGACTCCTTGACTGTAATCTGCAGTTACAAGAAATACTGCATTTTGCAGTAACCCAAGAACAGATTTCAGCACCAGTAAGAAGCAGGGAAAGCCTCTACAAATTAGGGACAATTTACTTTGGAGTGAAAGTTCAGAGGAATCTTTCTGTAGTTCAGATGGTTTCATCAAGGATCATTTTGACAGTGCTATGTGCGCTGCTAGCCTCCAGTTGAGAGTGTTTTGCAAGAAAATAGGCATTTCCTCAAGCAGCAGGTAAGACTCACTTAACAACAGAATTAAAAGGAAAAGCTGATGGAGAACTAAATTGTTTTCTTGGATAGATTTGTATGTAAATCCTTGTCACTGCTAAGACTTTAAATACGCTTCTCCCTTCCCATTTTCTCTGTCTGCTCCATTCCTACTTTTGACTTGGATATACTGCACAATCTCCCATACACTTGTGTTTTTAAAGCTGGCCAAATTCCCTTTTCTCCACATCTACTCATCCTCGATTGTCACACATACATGTTTAGAGAGACATCTAAGAACTTAAAGAACAGAATTATAAATTAAGTTACTCTAAAGGAAGCAAGTGAACAAGTATCTAGGACTCCAGATACCACTTCTCACTGTACCATGTGCATTGTACAGTGACATCTCCCCTCATCAGTGCATGAAAAAGCGGGCACACAATGCCATTAGCCTATGTGGGAAGTAACACTCTAGATTCCTGGCATGTGTGACTGGCACTCAAGACCGAACACTAGAGGAAGAAATGTATCCTTTAATTTTTCTCATTACAGGAGCTTTGTCTTTGCTGCATGATTTCAGGCTGCTGGGGCAGTCTAGCCATTGTCTGTCTGGTCTGGTTCTCATGGTACTGCCAGTAAATGCAACTCCAAGCTTGTTAGCCACCCTAACTCCATGAGCCTGCTCAATGCACCATCAAAGCTGAAGGGCTCATCCTTCCCAAGGAGTTAATCCAAATTATAATTTCATTGCCCTCCACAAGGGAAGTCTACACTGCACAGCTAATTAGGTTTTATCTCCTAGAAACCTTCTTCCAGCCCGGGTATGCCCAGGCCAGCTCCTACTCCTATGAACAATTTTTACAGTGCTGGTCCCACTGCAACTGGACTTGGTGTAACATTGTGGTAGCCATGGGACAGTGTTAGAAGTCTCTCCAAGTCCTTCCCATAATTCTCCTTGAAGAGAAAACAGGGGACAACTGAACAAAACCCAAGGATGTGCTGCAGACCCAAAACCAAGCTCAGGAGCGAGGACTGAAGGAGAAGAGCACCAGTGATGAAGGCTATCACAGCCTGCTAACACTGCTGTTTAGACTAGCAATGGATCACATGAGCTGGGTGGCTTTTAAGGACATTAACACTCAAGTTAGCAGCAAGTCACTTGTGCCTACGTAAACCCTCTGTGCAACTTGAGTATTACTCAAAGAGTAGCAAATGCTAAAACAAGCTAATTCTGCAGTGAAGATAGCCAGGAAATAAAACCGTGAACTTGGCATTTTTACACACAAAGAAACATGGGTATTCAGCCTAATATAGGAAAAACACTTTCTTGGCCTCTGACTTTTTTGTTTCTTTCCCAGCGTGGCAGAGTATCAGGGCCATTTTGAAAACCATGATTTTGACGATACATTCTTTAAAAAGATTCTAATTTGGAAAACAAAAAAACTTAAGAAAAAAAAATCCCATCTCGTAAACAGAAACAACCCCCATACTTCTCAAGTGGACAAACACTTCATAAATACACTACAGAGAAAAGCAAAAAAACCAAACCTCCAATAAGTCTCAACTGATTTGAGAAACCAAGCAAAAGATTAATGATCTATTTTAAAAAAATTTATTTAAGCAAAGGAGAAATGGGAATCAAGAAACGACAACTGCAGAGTCTACAGGGCCAAACTCTCTGATACGAATTCACTGCCTAATGCAGTCTGTTATGTACAGTACAGAGGCATGTAGAAAGTAAATATGCTAAGTTTGGTTTCTTAAAATGTCTCCATGTTTTTAGATCCTAAACTGAACACAATTTTGAAATATGAAGATGCAGCAATTAATTGTTTTAAAAACTGATGCCATGTTTTGTACTCAGTACCTCTCAGCTCTTACAGATCTGAGGGCCCAGATACCACTTCATGGTTCTCCTTCCACATCAGTCACACCAGTCTGCAGCAGGCAGCAAAGCCTCAGCCCCAGCAGGCACGTATAAACACATACCCACTCAGCTCAACCAGTTCCTTCTCTAAAATGTCTGTGAAGAAACACCTCTAAATAAAGCATTTTAAAATCTCCAGCTTGTTTTGGTATGAGCAGATGACCCAGCTGGGCACATGACAGTCCCGTTGGAAGCAGCACTATTGCCATGAGGGCAATGCACATCAAGCACACATAGCAGGAAGATGCTATGCCAAAACAAAAAACCTCATTCAAGATTGCATCTGCTGGCATACATTTACATTCACTTGTCATGATACCCTAGTTTACCCCTGTTTTGGGAAATCTGAAAGAAAGCCTGCTGAGGGGACTGGCGGGACTGGCAGCATAGGGCCAGCTCCTGCGCCTGTGGGGACCGATTAAAAGGCTGAATGAATTCAGCACTAACAGAACCATTTCTTTCCAAGGATTTCCCATTTTCACCAAGCTGGAAGAACAACCCTACACAACTACCCATTTTTCAACTGGACATATTTCTCTGTCCTGTATGTCTCCCCATACCCTTGCTATAAACTGTATTACAATTATACAAAAAAATAAACCCTAATAATTTTTAGCTCATCTTTACCCCATACTTGGGGTATATTCAAAGGCCATTAAATTGGCTTGCCTCCAGCCTTCACAGAGATCTTGTCAGGAGGATTCTGGTTTTAACGACATATATATATATACACATATTAATATGTACACTGACAAAGAAGCTGCTCTTTCAGTTAGAAAAGAAATTAAATTTCATCACAGAATGAATCCTATAAAAAGATATGTAATAAAGTTGAAATACCCATAAAATAGCTATTACTAAAGCAAAGCTTTCGTCAATAAGCCTCCAAAACTTTAAATGAAGAAAATGGCTTCACGAAGTGGTAGTCTAGATTTCCACAGTGAGGACACTGCTGGACATTGCTGTATTCAGAGAAATACTGCATGCCAATCCGTACATCTATTACTGGCTTCCCACAGTGCTTACAGTTCAGTCGAGCCTGTAAACAACAAACAAACAAAAACACTTTTTAAACAACCAAACTCACCTCTGGAAAACAAAGGCGCCAGAGGCAACCCCTTGCCCTCCCCAGCACGAGAATGGGTCAGTCAGGAAACTGGCAATAATGGGATCTGCTAGCAAGGACATTCCTCACCTGGACTGGTAACTCACAGGCATGCACCATATATTTCACATTAAATATCACCACCAAATTCTGGAGAGTAGGTCAAGTCCCATTCTGACTGACGGGAGGCAGAGAATTTCAAGGTTTATGTACACAAATGATTGTTTTGTTTTGCCTGATCTCAGAACCAATTCCTCAATCTCCAGCACAATAAGTGCTGTCTCAATAAATTATTAACGAAGCCCCAAAGCACAGAGAGAAATTTTATATTTGTGCCACGCAATTAAACCATTTCAGCTGACACTTGAACATCATCTGTCCATGAAATATATCAGCATTTTAATCCTTTGGCTTAACAAATGTATAACTCAATCTACTTTATCAGCACAACATGATATTGTTGTCACCTTAAGTAGCTATTTAACCATTCGTAATACTTATCAGGATATACAAACTAAACATCACTTCAAGAACACAAACTACTCTACAAAATCAACTGAGAAAGACGCAACATTAACTGGGTGGATATGAGAAATTAAAGGTCAAATGTGAGGACAGACAGAGCCATTAATATTCAGCTGTTACAAAAAAGTGAGTCTTCAGAAGGAATCTAGCTGAGAAATACAGTCCATCTGATGTAAAGAAAGCAACAGGCAGCACTAAAGCTCAGCAGGCCTTTCAGAAGAAGCAGAAGGGATTTGAGATTGTAAAGGAGTTTAAGAGTAAAGGTGGCAAAAGAGCAGCAAGGGCCTGAGCTGTACTGTAGCTTAACCTCACAGCCCAATACACTAATGAAAGCTTCAGCTCTTCACTGAAAAGAACAAAAAAGTATTGTCTATGGCCATCTTGATTTAAGGGATTTTCCTGGATGAGGAGAGGAGGAAATTACTAAAGTACTATCTCTGTTGAGACCAGACTCAAAAAGAAACTAATCAACAGCTTCGCAGCCATCTGTTCTGCTTGAAAAGCAGAAATTCTAAGAAATACAATCTACTAGATTATGAATTTTTATTAATTTCTTAACCAAAGTGTTTTCTCCTTTGCTACTGTCCAGCACATCAGTTAAGTGTTAGTAACTTGACAGAGGCTTTATCCTTCATGTAAATTTGTGGTGTAGAATTAAATATTTTCAAATAAGGCATGAAATTATTCAAAATAAAATCAGCAAGGCAATTTGGAGTTAAATCATATACCATATTTAAATGTCATTCCTCTGTATGCATGGAATCACCTGTAACAATCATAGTGAAACAATAATGTGTATTATCTGGCAACTACAGTCACTGCAGCTAATGATTTTATAATCAGTTCTGATACCATGTACTGTCACAATGTCCATTAATCATGTAATTAAGGATCTTAATGAGCTCCTAATTCTTGTATTATACATTCTACAGAAGCAATTCAGATTTAAAGTTGCTGCCTTTTACAAAGATAGCAAGTCAGAATCAGTGTTTTATCTTTAAAAGTCCCTAGTTTTTTAAGTTACATTTTCAAGAAACACTAAATTTGAAGGCAGTGTATCTGTCTGTAGTTATAACTGCTATCAATGTCATCTTAACTAGCAGCAGAAACACCACTTGTCTTTTGAGCAACACATTTTCGTAAATATGTTAGATTTAAAATAAATTGCCATTTTTCATATGGACAAGACTGCTCTTAAGTATGCACATCACCATGAAGTGAGCACAGTTTGAATGCGTGCATCTCTGTGAGGCTCCTGTCCTAACCTGCCAACAACACCTCTGTGTCTGAGCATCTGGAGCGGACCACTGAGGTCATTCCCAGACAAATGCTTTTTTTGCAGCTGTCTACCCCTACCTGTACAGCAGAAGTGCTCTGTCCATCACAAAGACAATTCTCTTGAATGCTAACTAACCTGCTGTCTTGGGCACATGTCTACTCTGGAGTAGCCCCAAGCCTTGGATCTTCCTCACTCAAGGTATAGATTAGGTGAGCATTTAATAAAAACTACGTTGCTTCAGGTTGTGGTGGATGAAGCACCATCACCAGAGTCAGTCACAGCAAAGATTAAGGAGAGCTGAGTAATCTCCAAGCACAAAGACACTTTAGACCTTTCTATTCCCTTGGAGCTTTTTTGCTACAATTATGATAAAACATGACTAAAAAAACCTGAAAACATGAAACAGCTGCTGAAAATGTGGAATTATATCTGATGCTAGTGATGCAGCATTGGATTTAATTACAAATGCATTTAAGGGGGCTTTATTTAAAAACATAAGTATTAACCATTGACCACTGCAATGCCTTTTGTCTAGCTATAGGCTGTTGTACCTCTTAAGACAAAGGGACAAAGACCCAGTCAGCTTTCTTGTATTCCACTCATAGGTACAGACTGCAAAAGAAGGATGGAAGGAGGGAAGGGAGGAGAGGTACACAAACCTTGACTTTATCATCAGCAATTTCACCTTAGGGTCCTATTTATGTATAGTACTAACCTGACAACAGGGAGATGCTGCCAGAATATCGTAGGTATACATAGTTCCCAGCTGATGCCAGCTTCCATCCCATCGGGACTTGCACTTGATGCAGATAATTTTGTGAACCCCTTCTAAGCAGTCTACACAAACAGCATAGAGGTGCATAAGCCTTCCTGGGGACAGGAAAGACATATCTTCATGAGACAAATCAGAAGATTAAAACAGACATTTTCTGCAATGTGCTATCTGATCTTTAGTGACACAAATCACACCTTTTTTTTTCCTTTATAAAGGATGAATAATAAAAGTATAAAAAGCTTCTCTATGGGAAATACATAGGATTTGACTGAAGCTATTTTCCATGGATGCAGAACTCAGGAATTAGTCATCACCCTGCCCACTCTCCCTTTCATCATTGCTGGTAGAACTTAGCAAAATATTTTATAAAAGGAGTTGCTAAACCTCCAAGAACAGATGCCAGGTTAAGCTGTAAGATCAGCTGCTGTGTTTCCAAAACCAGGATTTTGCCCTAGCTTCATCCCCACCTGACAGAAGAAGTGAAGTGCTGAAGCTTATTAGCAAACTTGGTACAGATTCATTTCACAACTTGCCAGAATCTTCCAGCAAAGAGGGAACTAAGGATCTAATAATCCCCATAGAAAAAGCAACAGTTAAAAGAGCCATTTATTTTCATGTATTTTCTTCTGACTGTTCATTAAGAATATTTAAAAACATTACATATTACACATACAGAGTTTAACATGCCATTCAGAACTACGAATATATTGAGCTCTATCATGACTTTAGGCTCTGTATGCACAATGACTTTCAAGGCCTGAGTTATATTTATTTTCAAAAAATCAAGTGTCTCAGACTTGGAAATCAAATATTTCCACTACATACATGTGATTAAAATCACCAAGGCAAAATCTGAGATCGAATTTCACAAAAAACAAACAAACCCTACACAAATTACAGAGATCTGGCACTCAGATTATGCCTGATTTGTAATGACTAAAATGATTTGTAGTTTAATAGTTGGCTATTAGAAGTGGGCTGACAGAGTACTAATTCTGTAACATACCATATTTTGCACTGCTAGAAAATACAAAGCTAAGCAGTACTGCAGCTACAGATCAGCAACATAACAGGACTGTGTATAATATGCGTTCATTTTGGATTGCAATTTGTGCTCTTTAGCATCAAAGTACAGAACACATCACAAACTGTAATTTAACAGACACACATCTTGTATCTCTTCTAGATATATGGGAACAAAATATTAATAATTTATGATTAGTCTATATCAGACATTTCTGAAATTATTAGTTTGGGTTTTAACTTGTTTTGGTTTTCTAAGCCAACTATTTTAGAAAAACAAGAAGAAAAAACAGACTCTTCTTAAAATATGTATACTAAGTAAACACGCTAGTATGAGCTGGTAAAAATTGAGTTATTCCACACGGGCATATTTGGCTTTAGAAAACATAATGCGATGAGACTAAAGCGCAAATACAATAAACTCTGTTCCTAAAGCAAGCACTTGGCATTGGTGATGTTCAAATAATTCCACACACAGAAGTTGGGTTGTGCCAGAAGATACATAACTTTCCCCATCTGAGGTTCTGCACTGTTTCTGCACATTAAGATACTACATGTCCCTATCACTTAATTTTCAGGATCCTTGTTATAAAGGAAATAATGCACCAGGTATCTTAAACACGCCTGAAATAAAAGAAGTCATTTTCTGTACTTAAAAGAAAATAACAGTCTGGAACAGCACCTTACAGCTTAAAAATTTCATTTCAAAGCGCACTTCTGACAATAAACCATTTTACCCAGGACAAGGAGGTAAAAATTTTAACAATTAATTATTCACAGCAACTTGTCTGAGCAGGTTTTTCAGATATATCATCTAACGGTTAAGAAGCAATTAATTACAAAAAGTAAAATTTCACAGAGTTTCATTCTTAGTGGCAAACATTAACAAATGATGAGTTACATTATTACTAAACCAGCTATTAGTACTGATAAAATGACAAGCACCTTCTGCTTGACTCCCCACCAAAGCAAATAAGCATTGTTATCTCATGTACATATATTCTATTTATCCCGGAACTTTTTTAGCATGTATATTTGCCTATTGTTTTTTCTCCTTGAACTATATTAGGCAAGACAGAAACAATAATGTCAGTTTGAGCCTTCAGGAAGAGCTGAAGCTCATGCTAGCCCACATTCATTTGTTTCTCTAGGAGGAGAAAAAAACACATGCCTTGGTCTCATCTCAGAGCTGGGACATGATGAGGACACAGTTCAAACTGGCAGGAGTTTGGAAATAAGTCTAAAACCCTCACTAGCACACTGCTGCTTCAACCCACCACATTAAAACCTTACCTTTACTACGTCCAACCTCTCCAGGCCAGTGTTAACATAGGTCAGACTATAGTCTTTTCCATATGAAAAAAATAACAGTTTGCTACAAAACAAAACTGATATTCTCTGGTCTGAAAGCAAATGAGAGGCACCTCACCCTCATCAGTGGTACAAATACAACTTTCACCCATGCTACAGCACTGCATTTTTAAAATTAAAAGGCTGATGTGTATCTTGGAGTAAAGTTCACGACAGATAAAGGAGCATGCAAAACAGATTGGCTGGAAAACCATGGTCTACCTAGAAATCAGATAAGAAATCTTTTAGCTGTAAACACAAATACAAGGCATGGGATGTTCCTACAGAGTATTTGCTTTTTGTAATTCCTTCTAAGTGTTTCAATTTGATCCATGCGAGTACTTTGGACATTACTTTAGGCTTTACTGAACTCCTTAAAATGCAGAATAGGAATAAAAATCTATAATGGAGGGGGACAGGGCACAGAAGGCAGTTTCATCATTTAATGAAACCTAGCATGACTGACAGACAACCTGTACCTTGAAGGTGACAGGGAACATCATATTCAATCTCATCATGTCTTGATGGGCTAAGGAATAGGGTCCCATCCACCAGCGGAAACTGTTCAAACACTGGCAGCGCCCTGTGGCATAGAGCACAGTTTACAACGTTCCTGTGGCTGGCACTGAGAGCAGCAAGGATGAACTTCCGAAGGTCTTCCCCTTGGCCCACCTGGGCATCGTCTTCCATCCGCACATGGAAAGTATTCAATTTATGCCTGGGGATGTGAGTGAGCAGCTCAGATAGATCGAGCCTTCTCAAAAACTGCACAGGAGCATCAAAGTGTCCTGACCTATATGCTTGCAAGCCAGCTGCCCCATAATCAAAATGTGCATTCCTGAACATGCCCCCACCAGCCATGTTCTTCTTATGGGGCTCCAGGTGAATGGCGTTCTTCAAAAACTCTCCCAAGTATCGCGAGGAACGAGGCCCACTGAAGTGTGTGGGGGCAAGAATAGAGTAGCCGGTGGGCGGGGATTGGCCAGGAGAGACACAAGGTGAACGAACGGCGTAGCTGCCACCCATCACACCCTTCTCTTGGGAGTTCTGCCTGTCCATCGAGTGCCTTCGCTGGAGGTCATTACTCAAGCTTTTCTGGGGCTTGTTGGCCGGCCTGCCCTTTTTGGCCTCCTCTGTTGACTCTGCCATGGACCTTCCCGTACTCTTCTCCAACACTGATTTCTTCTTCTTATCATCCTGCATTCGCTTCACCTGGTACCAGTCAGTGTCCTTCTTCAAATGACCCTGCCCACATCGACAGGAGCAAAAGCGAAAAGCCAGGTCATATCCCTTCTTGGTCCACATGTTTTGACGACACTGCTTTTCGTTCCAGCTCCTGGCTCTGCCAATGCAATTGAACTGGACGAGGATGCTGCTTTCCCACTCGTAGAAGCACTGAAGGTGCATCCAAGTGCTGTACGGACAATGCTCGTTGTTGCATATAACCTTCTGGTAGTCATCCTTCTCCAGGTCCACCGGCCTTCCAAAGCTACAGATCAGTGGAGTAGCACAAGGAGCTTCTGTGGAAGATAAACCAGATACATTAATAACTTAATGGTCTATTTATTGCAATACTTTTGTAAACACCATGACAAACACACAAACTCTTATGGCCCATATTACTGAAGGGCCACAAGCACTACTTCTGAGTCAGTGCAAAAAGCAGTATTTGCCAAAAATAGTTAAGCATGTGAAAGGAGATATGGAAATGCAGGAATAAAGAAACAAAACGACATCACAGTGTGTTTAGTATTCAAAACCAAAACACCTCACAAGCATTAGTCCTCCTCAAGCGTTTGCAGATACTGTTTCAAGACCTTAAGAAGCAAGCAGAAAGCTTTGTGAATGTTTCTGGAGGGTTGCTTTGAAGCCTGAGAGGCCACATGGAGAGAACACTGTTTGAAAAACAAGTAAGCAATACAGCCCAGCTTCACAATCACGGGGAGAGGCAGGAATTGATCTTTTCTTTGGGACTGGGCAAGAGACAACAGCTAGGGAGAGGAGGAAGCAGACTACTTTGAAAAGCAAGACAAACAGCTTATATTCCTAGTACAGAAAGGAGGGCCTTCATTACATTGCTTAAGCAAATACAGACTATGTCATCACCACTGACCTCCTGGATAGCTAAATTTCACAAACCAAACACTTCTGCAGCACCGACAGGTTAAAAAAAAACAAATGCCACATGGTCTTTTATCATCAAAGTAGCAGTTTTTGCTATACCATTGAGCAAACAACAGTTTACTTCAATCATCTCCTGGCAACAAAATCAGCTTTTACACAAAAAATGTTCTACAAAAATATGTTCTGCATTTATTGACTCATGACGTTTTCTGGTCCTTCACCAAAGTACCTGGGACTACATATGATTCCTATTGCTGGCTGCTCTGTTGCAGCTGGGAGGCACAAAAGGGGCTGGAAATTTTCTATTGGAGTTTCTGTATGAACTTTTTAAATGCTTATTCAAATATTACAAATATTTCTTCTCTGTATTTCTGTCTTTCTAATTCCTCCACTTGTCCTGATCTTCTTCTTATGAATCCCGTAGTAAAACAAGCTTTAGTAAACATTCATGACTTCTGATTTCTATCGAGAAATTTATGATTTATTACAATTTGCTAAAAAAACTTTAGATCCATACTTGGAAAAGGTAATCTCATCACTTACACGTGGTCATTACAAGTAACTTTGCTGACCTGATTCAGGATTTCTTAGCCACAACTACTGCATTAGGAAAAGCCACTACTGATGTCTGAAATTTAGCTCCTGAAGGCACCCCTGAACCACCTTCAGAAGCTGATTTCAGAGAGCATGGGGCAGAATTAGATAAATAATTTGAGACAGTACAGGGAGCCATAAGGGAATGGAATCCATCATATCCAACTGTGGCATAAACTGGTATTCATTTATCCATTTATAATACTCTACAATAGCAAACTTTATATAAGGTGCAAAGGCTGTTATGGTAGCATACAAATTGTTTGAACTGGGGAGAATCAAATGTGACAGAATATATTGCGAGATTGCAAATGTGGTTTCTGACTCCTGCAACCCATAGAGGCAAAGATGCCCCAACCATTAAAGTAGTCACTAGACCAACTCAGGGTAGCACCACACAGCTCAACAAATTCTTTGGCAGTTGGAGGAAATGCTGGATCGAGAGACAGAAAGAAAATACTGATCCAACATGGCTGTCAGGCTGCCTTTTAACCTCTGTATGGCTGCATTCAAATACTAGTAGACTCCTTCAGGGTATTCCATGGTCAAGTGCTGCCTCACCCCATGTACACAACACAGCACAGCTCCCTGCTGTTCCCCGGTCTCAGCCAGAGTTCCAAGATCTACAGCAGACGTACAGAGAGCCTTGTTGAGAGAGACCGTCATGATCCAGGTTTTTTTTCCTTAGGACTTTAAATTTCTATCTGATAAGCAGGGAATAAAACCATCACTTGGTTGCACTTTTTTTAATCCCCTTCTTATCACTGCTAGCATAAATAATACAACGTAATTTGATGCGGAATAATAGGTTTTACACTGCTACGTTTACTTTTACTCAGACTCTAAGTAACAGACACACTACCCATCATCACCTGTCCTCCAGCAGCAATACACCTGATGTTTTAAAAGGGATCTTTGCCACACTAGTTGTTTTGCTCCTTCTCAACAAGTTTTTGTAAAATGCTATAAACAAACAAAATCTTCAATGTTACCTTCAGTAAATTCAAGATTACTGTATCTCTTAAGACTTATTTATTTACACAGAAGAAACAGGCACAAATAGCACAAAAAAAACTCTCCTGAGCCACTCCCTGGAAGATGCCACATCCTTCACCTCATTTCTCGGCCTCTAATGTCAGAAGTGGACCAATTGCATGGAGAATTTTCTGCAACACTTTTCCTTCAAGGACTCGCCTATAAACTGCAAGCAAAGCACATTGCCAAAAACTGCCTTTTAAAGCAGAAAAAGCCTATTTCATTTCAAAATATGGATTTGTTCAGTCATTAAAAACACATTACCAAACTGGAGAGAACATAGATAAGAGAGGCTTTCCCTAGGGACTTTTCAGAGGTTCCTTCTATACCAGAGGTACTAACATGAACAATTCTCACTTACGCATTTCCTGCATTCATCTATTTTGATACATGTTCCTTTCCACCACCGCAAGAAGGCAGGAAAGGAAGAACATGACAAAAATCCACTTGTGCTCTCCCTGTGTTTCAGATAGTAAATGTTCTAACAGTTGCAGGTATAATTATGGCTGACAGCTGAGAAAGTTACTATACAGAGAAGTCTAGAACTGAATGAAGACCCTACACTTGTTCATCCATACTGGCATAGTTAACTGACTAAAAAAAGTGTTTTCTTGATTAGCCTCTGAACATATTTTTTGTTTTGTACACAAAAACATATGATCTCTAGCCCCCTGAGAAGTTCATAGACTCTTCACTATGTGGCAAAAAAATGAAATTAATAAGTGACTGAAATACAAAAAAAATTACCACAGCCCATGATTTCCACAGAACATGTTCACAATTATTCATTATGATCATGTACTGGGTGTCTAGAGGCTAACGTAAGGGCAACCTTCAACACTTTTTTTTTTCCCCCTTTTCCTAGTCGGTCAATGGAAGTATACCGTGGAATGAGATCTTTTCCAGCTTCTCCTTGAGAACTTACAGATGTCAGATTACCTGAGGAACTTCCCATACAGCATAACTATGAGCAAAAAAAGCTTCAAGTTTTGGACAGCGATGTCTTCTTCAACATTTAAGTTAACTAGATGATTACTAAGTCTTCAGACATTCCCTCACCTGATCTTCTATCTACCCAGTGTGAATTGGCTGGTTACTTAATCGCCATAGAAAAGCAGGTCTAGAGCAGTTGGAAGAAAGCAAGAGAATGAAAAAGCCTTCCCCCTTGCAAAAGATACCAGTGAATTGTTAAACGGTGGTACTGAGATCACTTTGCAAAACATCATTGCTAAGAGGAGAAGCTGGTCTCTACTCAGCTCTTCTGGGCACTCCCCTGACACTTCACTACTGTCACTTTAGCAGCATAAGAAATACTCAGTAGAAAACTAACAGGTCTCTAGAAAACTAATGGCCATGCTGCCGTGCTCCACAGCACAGTTTGCGCCATGCTACTCAAAGCACCTGCCTTCACTGATACAGATTTGCTATTATGAAGTCTGCTGGTTTGCAGAAGGCCTTGATTAAACTACAGCAGTATTTCCACAAGAGAAACTGAAGAGCCCAGAATGGCTAATTAAAATTGTCTCAGTAGAAAGTTCTACCACTTCTGTAGTATCCCTGTATTTAAGAAAGCAGAAAACTCCACTACCTGAAAAGCATATGGAAGCCTCAAGCCAACATTTGGTTCTGCCTAACATTTCCATTTCCAGCAGGTCTATCTGTACAAAACAGACTGTACAGGACTGAACATCCCTTGCAGACTTCTCTCATCTATGTCTCCTGCCAAACATAACCATGCCACATGTTCCTGCATAAAGAATAAATGAGAAACAGAAAACAGCTATTTTTGTGCAACTTTCCCAGTTCACGGCAACAGATATGACTTAGGAGCAAAAGAGACAGCATTCAGATCAGTATGGGAGCCACTTTTTAGCAAATGTGAAGACCTGTTTCCATCAGTTCACGGCAACAGATATGACTTAGGAGCAAAAGAGACAGCATTCAGATCAGTATGGGAGCCACTTTTTAGCAAATGTGAAGACCTGTTTCCATCAGTTCACATCCTCAAAAGTGGTCTGGGTTATTTAATCACCGTTTTATAGACGAGACAGAGCGTTTATTACAGTACTACAAAACTTTCAAAATTCTTGTTATCAAGCCCTTGTACTTCCCATAACTAAAAATGTATTTTGAGATATTCTTCAAAAAGTCAGAGTCATCATCGTTCTATCGTTTCATGATAGTGGTGCAATCACTACTGTCAAGAGAGATGATAATGGGGAGTAAAGAGAAATTCACAAGGCCAAACTGCCCATCCACACCTGCAGCCCCAAGTTGGTTCGTCACCTAAATATAATTTGCTTCCAAGTAGCAGCTCAACAGGTTTCTGGTTTCCAAAGTTATGAAACTGAACTCCAGGAAAAATGAAAGATTACCTGGTATGAGAGCAGTATCCATTATTCCAGCTGCCCCTTCTAAAAGAATGTCAAAATAATGATAAAAACTTCCATTTAACTCTCAGTTTCAAGATGCATTTCACAGCCTAAGAGAACAAAGCAAGACAGAGTACAATTTTGTGTAGTGGAACAGTTTCAATGTAGGCTGTCAAGTTGCAACTATAGGCGCATGCTGTTTCTTTCCAGAAGTTATGTTTCCACATAAAAAAAACCAGGTTTTCTGATATTCCTCTGTAATGATTTGGAACAGTAATTCTGAAAATAGTTGCAAGGAGCAGTACATAAATTTCTTCAAAAACAGATGTGACATACAATATTCCACACAAACATACATTTGAGCAAAGACAGCTCCTTGTTTAAAGAAGGTTGTG